CTAAATTGAACAGTACAATTTTCCAAACATACTTTTAACGCCATTATCGTTAGTAGAATTATATACCGACATGGCTTCTTCTTTCATTACGATCAAATTCTACGATTAATTGTTCACCAATCTCAAATCTAAAGGGTTAGTATTGAAAAAGGTTCGAGGATCACATATAAAGGGTAATCCATTTGTGTGAAAAAGTCCAATATCTCCGCCATTATTATAGATATAAAAAATATTTTCATAGAACGGTAGACAGCGTTAAACTACATATTTTAATATACAGGGTGTTTAATAACTTATGTTCTTTTTAATGGATTTATTAACTCTGGATTAATGAATTTTCCCATTCTAAAAAAATTAATTATTATTAAAATCGACTATATCATACAAAAAAAACCATTGATAACCAATTTTTTTTCTACCACAATTTTTCAATTATGGTTAAATTTTATCCGGAGCCACTACTTTTTTCAATTCGCATCAAATCTGTATAGGGTGAGTCAAAACACAAATACATAATTTTCTCAATTTTTTTAAATAGTTCACCCTGAATTTTAATTCATCTTTTAAAAGTATCATAATTATACTTTAAGAGATTTTTAAATTTTAGTGGTAAAAACGATAATTCAGAAACTAATTGATAGAAAATACATTCTGTTTGATAATTAGTAATTATTACAATTTAACCAGCTGTAATTTATTATCGATTTTCATACAAAACTGATTATATCCTGCAAAATACCCTGTATAAACAAATAATAATTTATATTTTTAGGAGGGAAAAGCGAAGGTAATTCAAATATAAAATAAAATACAGGGTGATCCATTCAAAAGAACATGAATTGGTTCCTGAGAGAAGTTATTAAATACCCTGTATATTCAAAAATAATTTTAAAATATGTAGTTGAACGCTGTGAAAATATTTTTTATATCTCTAATAATGGCGGAGATATTGGACTTTTTCACACTAATGGATTACCCTGTATGTTAAAGCGCCGGTTCGCAGCAAAATTTATGAAAAAACATTTTTAATTAAAGACACTATGGCTACTAGTACTACAGCCAATAGGGAAAGCTTGAAAAAATCCGGAAGAAAAGGAGCTTTGGTTACCAAGCAACGAATATAAATTGATTTATAACATAGGAATTAATCATTTAATAGAAAAAGTATCACATGCTTTCAAAGTATTATTAATTTTTCAATATTTTATTAATAAACTACTTTTTTAATTAATATTTCTTTATAATTATATGCAAGTCAAGCCAACACACTACCTTAACCCTCTAATGAGTAATGTATCTCCTGATATACATTAATTTTGAAACTCTCTTTAATTTTATGTTACTATAATACACTAATTATATTTTAAACTAAATCAATATTGAATTAAACTGTCAATTAACGTCATACAATCATTATTTATGAATAAAATCCATTAGAAAATTACCATAAAAGTGAATGAGATACCTGCCTGTACCTTACATAATACAGTTTTTTGAGGAATGTATCTGGTGAGACACATCGCCTATTATATCCATAAACAGCATTTAAAAGGAATGTATCTAGTAAGATACTTTGCTCAAAATTTCAAAACTGTAGAGAACTTTGTTTTTTTTTCTATTTACAGAAATATCGAAGCAAAACTGAAAAAATGGTTAAAAAAGTTTTATCTCCAATAATCAATATTTTGACATGTCAACGGTAAATATATCTGAAACAGATCCAGGTTCTGTAACTCTTATAAAAGTTATTTTAGAAGATACTTATTTAATTAATCTACCAAGTTCTTTGTACACAGAATTAACACCAATGAAAATTCAGTGTAAGTCTAATGTGCATACTAATATAGAAAAAGGATATCTACCATGTTCTTCGTACACAGAATTACCACCAATTACAATTCATAGCAAGTCTAATGTGAATACTAATATAGAAGTAGGAGGTACGCAACAAAAGGAAGTTTCAAAATTGGTTTCAGAAGCTGCCACTTTAAATCCAATTTCTGAATATCCTAATCCACAGCAGGAACCACATGCATCATCTGAAGTAAAAAACATATCTTAAGCAATACAACAACCTTTATTGCAACTACCTCCAACGAAAATACAAAAGCCTCCAGAAATGGTATCTACGTCTGCACAAGCAAGCAGAAAATCAAAACGAAAATATTTAGAAAAAACGTCAATTTGTTCGAGTGAAAAAACAACTTTTGGCCAGAAAACACCAGCCGTTTTGGTTTGTTCAAAAATAAAAAAGGGAATATCACGAAAAAGATATAAAGCTAATCCAAAAAAAAAAAGACTGCAAAAGAATCAAACCAAAGAAGTAAAACGAAACGAAGTAAACGTTGATTCTGTCAACGGTTTTTCCTTGCCCACTTCTGTAAAATCACCTCTAGAATACTTCGAAAGATTTTTCGATGACTATACGAATAAGTTAATGATAAAAGGTACACATTTATATTCCACCACATACAGAGGAAACTCTTTGGCTACGAATTCTGACGAAATAAAAGACTTTTTAGCTATTGAGCTTCTAATGGGTGTTATAAAGTTACCTGCTTACACTGATTATTGGTGTAGTGAGTTACGTATAAACATAATCGCTGATGTAATGCCTATAAAAAGGTACAAACGTATTAGAAGGTATATACATTTTAATGATATCGGTACTGATAGATATTTTAAAATGAAGCCTTTTATTGACCATCTAAGAAGAAAATTTAATGAAATTGAAAATGAACGAATACAGTCAATAGATGAAATGATGATACCGTATGAGGGAAACAAAGCAGGTTTAAGAAAACGGTATGTAAAAAACAAACCGAAACAATGGGTGTACAAGAATTTTGATAGATCTAGAGCTTCTGGAATTGTTTATGACTTTGTCATATATGCTGGTGAAAATACATTTTGGCAATACACTTTTACTGAATATAAAGAGGCATTAGATTTTGGAGCAAAGGTCGTACTTGCTATATGCAAAACCTTGCCTGATCCTCCACTTACTAAAGTATACTTTGACACTTTCTTTGCTTCACTTGCATTATATGAGAGAAGAGTTTGGCATTTTGAGTCTGGGAACTATGCCTGCTAACAGATTAAGAAATTGCCTAGCAAGTGACAAAACTCTTAAGAAGAAAGGAAGGGAAAGTTTTTAACAAAAATCAGATAATACACAGAAAATTGTGTAGTGAAATGGCAAGATAACAGATCTGTTATTCTAAGCAGTTCTTTTGTTTCTACGTATCCCATTTTAAGTGCCAAGAGATACTGCAAAGATTCGAAAACAAAAGTTGAAGTTACATGTCCCAATATTGTGAAACAGTACAATGCTCACATGGGAGGTGTTGACTTATCTGATATGTTCATATCACTGTACACAACTGGGTTTAAAACACAAAGATGGTATTTGGCGATATTCTCACAACTTATTGATATAGCTGTAAATAATGCATGGCTCTTGTGTCGTCGAGATCAAAATCTCCTTCAAATCCCTGAAATTAATGAATCGATAATTAAAGATGGATTAAATGAAGAAAGCACCAAGTACTTGGCATTAAAAAAATTTAGAACATTAATTGCACAGTTATTATTGAAAGAAAAACAAAATAGTAGGGAGTCCAACTGCTCAAAATAAACCAACAAAAGTTATCAAAAAACCGGAGATTAGACCTATACAAGAAGTTCGGTATGATCAAATTGGACACAATTTAAATTTTTCCACAAGAGGTCGTTGTAAATTGTGCACAACTGGACAAACAATGGCCAAATGCGTAAAATGTGATGTTCGTTTTTGTGCCTTAGAAAAAAGGAACTGTTTCTTTACTTTTCATAATATTTGTATTTATTTCCTTTATTTTCCTTATGTTTGTTTAAATTTTTTGATATATTATTTGTATTTTATTACATTGCAATAATTGACATTTGATTTTGATTTTTTTTATTTAAAAAAACGTTTAATTTGCATTTTATACTAAACGCAATATGTAATAGATGTGCGGGTTATGTATCTCTCCAGATACGTTGTTAAGTATTTGCGAAATTATAGGTTCCGAGCGGTGTAAACCCTAAGATACATTCGCAGTTTTGCAAAAAACGGTGTTTTTCAAAAAATTGCCAGGCTTATTCGTACTCTAGTGATTCAGTTAAACCCTAATTTTAATTTAAAACATTTTTCCAATGCTATATTTAATTTTGTTCATTAGAGGGTTTAAAGAGTAAGTGAGTGAGTGATCTAGAATTGTTTATAACCTCAGTAACGTGGGCCTGATTATCAAAATTTCCTTACTCTTAATTATAAATATTAATCTGTTCATTTTGCGCACTTTTAGATCAAAGTTACTTATAAGGGTGAATTAATCTTGTCGTATCATTTTTTTTTCGTTCACCGATTCTTAGCATATAAGTTTTTGTCGAACCCAAAAATTGCCACAACTGTCTTCAAAAAGTAGATTACTAGAGACACTACTGTTTCATTATTGACAACAAGCCACCTCTTCTTTTAGTTTGTAATTAATAATAATTTATGACCGTCAATTAAATATAGAGGCAAGAAATAAATATTTTAAAGATTAACATTGTATCCAGTAAATCCTTCACTTTATATTGATGAAACTAATGAGCATTATGATAATAAGAATAACGAAATGGTAACTACAAATTTGATAATATATTAGGGACGTTTTGACAGTTTGTTAGTAAATATTAGACAAGCGTAGCTTTTCGGAAAGAACGTATTCATTGAAGAATACATTCTTTCAGCTGCCCCAAACGCAACTCAATCAATACATCAACTATCTCTTTAGAATGGATCGTTATTATGAATTAATCTCTTTTCTGAGTCAGGATATTAAATGGTGATAGGTTTCAGTGTTAGCATTTTCTGAATTTAATAATTACTGGATTTTTTTAAGATAGCTCATAATATCTGCCACTGTAGCTTCAGTTTTCCCGTATCGATGTGAGATATCCTTAACGAATTTGTTTCTGTTTGAGCCTACCTTGACTTGGGGACTGACAAGATATAGAAGAGGATTGGCGCGGAGTCGTTCATGCTCATCTTGCTGCCTTCGGATCTCCTCTCTTCGGGCCGAACCTAAATAGGAGACTTCCTCCCTGGACATCGGTCCCGTCGCCCTGGGCAGCTCCTGGAAGTCTGGAAGCGATTTTTTCCTCTGCAACGAAGTTTGTGTCACTAGGTTCTGAAAAAGAAAGAAGAACGGGGAATGTAGAGGCGAAATGAAAATGAGGCGGAAACGAGGGTGTAAATGGCAATGACTTTTGGGAAGTTTGGGTAAAATTGTGACGTAAAAATTAAATTATTTCGAACAAATTTATTTATTAATGGAAATATGAATCAATGGGATTTAGGAATTAAATACGAATAGTATGGTACCTATATTTGACAAGGAAAGAGGTTTTCCCATGCTCTAAATATCTGACTTCATAAGAAATATACTTAATATTGTATAAAGCGAATTGATAAACTAACATACTTGGTAAATGCAATCTGGAGCTAGTCCAGAGCTACTAGAGCTTGAGGTGAACCGGTACTGCCTTTAAGACTTCTATTTATATATCTATCTTAATTAGGGTGTGGTTCAAAGCTCACTTGTATTAAAGGTCTAGGCTTATTTTACCCCTCACAATTTCTACCCCATCAGATTAATATTCTTAATGAATTCAAGAATATGTCTGATGGGCGCTTTTGCGATTTCTTCAGTTTCCGGATATTGTACCCCAAAGTGCCATTCCCGTTCCCATTCCCATTTCCATTTAAGGTTCCTACAATGGTACAGTATGCATATTGCACATAGGGAGTCATCAGATATCCCTAAGGGATTTAGTTGTCTTCGCAGTGTCCCATAAAAAGTCCTATTACGGCCTTTAGTTGGCTTCTGCTAAGGTTTAGCAGTTGATTTTGTCTTCTCTTGGATCGACCCCCTATAAATATTTTGGACTATTTATGTCCAGAAAGATTCAACCAGAGCCTATGTTGTTCTCTATTTACCAATTTCGTTAGTACCCATTTAACTTGTTGGAATAAAATATCACATGTAGTTTCTGGTCAAATTTTGCTGTCAATGCAAAACCTCTAACTAATTTGACTAAAAAGAATGTAAGTTTTATTTGGTCAGAAAACGAGGGACGTTCTTTTAATGATTTAAAGCAAAAGCTCACCACAAGACCGATACTTGCAATATACGATCGCGAGACGACACCCGAACTCCACACCGATGCGATGTGGTAAACTGGTTTTGTTTTGATTCACTTTCGTAACTGTATTCAGAACTCTTCCAGAACCTTTGGAGCATGCGCAGTAGATGTTCGCTGTTTTGGTTTCACCACAACTAGGTCCGAACCTAGCAACTACACCAGATGAGCAAAAATTTTATTCTTTTGAGCTAGAAATGCTCGCCTTGGTCAATTCCTTGAAAACAGATTGTAATGCACTTTGTTTCGCACTGACAAAAAGAGATTTAATACCACGAATAGCTCGTTAGTGGTTAACTACACAAGAGTTTGATTTTTAGATCGAATAAAGGCCCGGTTAGAAAATAAGTCAAGTAGATGCTCTTAGTGGAAATCCTGTCCAAATTGAAGATTAAGAGTGAATGTTAGCGAAGAGGATAAGATATTATCCGCTTAACTTACAGACAAACGGTGTCGCGAGGTGTATAAGATTTTGACCCAAGGGCCAATTACTATTGAAGATATAAACGACCAAAAGGAATACGTTCTAAAGGATAATCGCCTTTATCGAATACCAAGACAAGGTAAAAGATGGGTAGTGCCAAAGGCAAGAAGGCAGCAAGGCGTAATATTTTAATCTGGTACAATGATGGTGCTGGTTATTTTAGCGACGATAAAACTCTTGAAACAATTCAGAAGCGTTATTGACTCCCGGCCATGCGCAATTATGTACGGAATTATATATCCTGCTATTTATGCTGTCTGTACAACAAAAAAACCAACAGGAAAGATACCTGGAAGCCTTTATACCATAGACAAGCAGGATATTAAAACGGACATGCTTCATCTCGACCATTTAGGACCTTTTGTTGAGAGCCGAAAGAAAAATAGACCCTGTGCTTAAGTTTCATGATGGTATTATAAAAGTATTTGGCATTCCACGACGCTTAATCTCTGAAAGATATACGGCATTTAATAGTGCTGCATTTAAAAGATACGGTAGTAACCTAAACATCAAGCATGTACTCTGGGCTACTGCTACTCTACGGGGAAACGGGCAGGTGGAATGAGCTGCGTTATTCTCAGACCTCTGATTTTCACCACGGAGGAAGAAGAGCGCTGGAATAACACAGTTTCATAAATTAAGTGGGGTATTAATTCAACGACCGTGAAGGCGCCTTTTGATGTCTTTTTAGGATATCGCCCGCAAGGGGTTAATGGATTCATTATCGCCAAGGAGAAGGCGAAGGCGGGTCTGTGGCATTGAGTTGAAAAAGGATCTTTCTGACTGGACTGCCGAACAGCAACTGGTTCAGAAACGTGCCTCGACACCCTCATCAGCCGCCTCAATAATGACAGTCACTACACAATAGCATATGCAGATGACCTAGTCATTCTGCAAACAGGGAATTTTAACAACATACTCTGCGAAAGAATGCAAGTAGTTCTAAAAATTATAGAACAGTGGTGCAAGGACCATTCTATCAATTCTATCAATTCTAAGAAGACAGAAATGGTCCTTTTCACAAGGAAAAGGATGAAAATGGAATTAAAACTAAACTCTGCAACAGAGGTGAATTACCTAGGTCTCACCTTTGACAGCAAGTTAACATGGAACTCGCATTTAGAAAACAGAGTTAAAAGAGCATACATTGCTTATGAACAATGCCGTCGAACCGTGGGGCGCACCTGGGGTTGCTCTCCCAGAGTCCTCGCATATACTTACACGGCTATCATAAGACCTATGCTAACATACGGCGCAGTTATCTGGGTACCAAAAACCCAAAAATTAACAGCTATCCGTAAACTAGAAAAAATTCAAAGAACAGCATGTCTCAAACTAACAAGAGCCATGAAAACAACACCGACTAGAGCCATGGATGTCATTCTTAGTCTCACTCCCCTTGATATTTACATCAAGAAGGTTGTTCTGACCACAATAACACGCCTGCGCACGGTTGGAATAGAACCTGATGTAGGATCTGGTGAGGCGAGATGTCACTTTTGGCAGGAGGCGCTTGATACGCTCCCACTGCGAACATGGACTCCACCTCACCGAGATATATCTTCCATAAGCCATATAAAGTTACAATAGAACAAATAGAAGAGCCAGAAGTGGCAGGTACGATTCATATCTACACCGACAGTTCTAAAACAAAACAAGGCTCAGGATGTGGAACATACTCCAGATTCTTAAACCTGAACATAAAATGAGCTGTGACTAATACTACCAGTGTACTATCGAAATTCACTAGCCAGGAAAGCAGCCAACCAAATACTTTTTGGACGTGGCCTTTCTATTGGATTGACAAAATCGGTAGTGACAGACTTAATTCAAGAACATTCCCTTGTGAAATTCAAGAAAAGATGGGATGAAACAAGAAACTGCAGAGTTGCTACCTGACAACACTGCTGCAAACAAATACTTGACTATGACTAGACGGAATCTGCGCCTAGTCACAGGCATTCTGACTGGTCATTGCCAAGTACGGAAGCATCTCCATATCATGGGGCTGTTAGAACCCGGACTTTGCAGAGGGTGCGAACAAGAAGATGAGACCATCGAGCATATCCTTTACGATTGTTCGACGCTCTCATTTATTAGAAGATTTGTGTTTGGCGAGTATCGGCTAACAGCGGCCGATATAAGAGAAGTACCTCTTGGCGACGTTGTCATCTACATTAAATCTGTAGGCTGACTCACAAGCTAGGAGGTGCCTATCATCTTAGAAGTGCCGTGGGGTATCCCACCCTCTACATGTTACAGATACAGATATATTGAGGAAAATTCCTTTGTTCCATTCATTGACGTTTAGTGATCAATAGAGGCCTTATTCTTGTGATAAATAATAACATCCAAAGTACATCTTGAATACCAAAAATAGTATTTTTTTATTGATGGAGTTAATAAAATTTCATTGAAAACAAATTTATTTAAATTATAATTAAATTGCAAGGGGTTAGGACTGGGTTCCTCCAAGCCCGGCCCCTGGATCCAGGAATCCACCCAACCCCACTTTTGTGGGGGCCATTCTTAGGTTTAATTAAACAGGGTATAAAAAAAGATGCAGGTACAGTAAATTTAACCACAGTTTTTGGAGTCCAAAATAAATCGAAACAAGCTTATATAAAAATTGGATAGTAAAAAAGTTACAAGGTGGTAAAGTTAAAATTTTAGAAGTGATTTTGTGCTCGTACTCTTAAAACAGCTTAACATATTTTTATGAAAATGTACATGGGATGTAAGTATATAGTTACCAATAAAATTGAGTTATTAAATTTTAAAATTATTTTAATTATATAGGTTTTTAGAAGGATTTCGCATCCTTTTGACCTATGTACTTTTTTAGACAAGAGAATTGAATTAAAAACAGAACGCTATTTGGTTTGAATTTTTTGCCTCTATTTGTTTGTGAAAGCCTTAATTAGTTATTGGCCCCAGAAGAAAGGAAGGTCATAGTGAAAAATACCATGAAATTTTTCTATTATCGTAACTTAAACCATTGAATATTTGTTCACGATTTTTTTTATATTTTACAACTTCATTTACACTTATTCCCTTGCATTATCGATCTCAATAACTTTTTTACTATCCATTTTGTATCTGGCAAGTTAGCTTAAATCGACTTATTTTCGACCCCAGAAACTATATGGTTCAATTAACTGTACATCTTTTTGTTAAACCCTGTATACAATAAATTAATTTTTTTATAAAAATGACATTATCATTACATCAGTTAACGCAAAGCTTCTGCAATGGTTTATTTTTAGTCGAAATCGCTATTTATCTATTATGATGTTTCGAAAAAAATTGTTGGAACAGATCCATGACCATCAGTAGTCGGGACAGCATTGGGAATTTTCTCGTTTAAAATATATTTTTTTTTAATAAAGCGTCTATTATTATTAAATGTACTCATTTCTTACAAGGTATTTTGAATAAGTATTTTCGTACATTATAGAATTTCTGATTTTGTAGATCTCCTACAAAATCTTAGATTTTCCTAAT